CACCCACCTTTGCAAATTGGGATTTTTAAAATTATTATATAGATTAATGTTCTTACTAATGTTCCATCATGCTAGCTAGCTTGTGGAATTCAGAAGCAGATTTGTGCACAAATTGTTTCAGCTAAAGACAATATACTACAATTTGCTCCTTGTCATGTCACATAAAGTCCAATAAAAATAGGCCAACTAGGATTATTATCTGGGAATTCGATCGAACCAGATGACTATTTTTGCGACAGTGATCACAATATGCCCTCGACCAGCATATGGAATAAGTTCTGAGTATTTTCCAAAGTAATAAACATGTGCTGGCTTAAACTCATTTCTCTGTTTTTTTTTTCTTCATTAGCTTAGCAAATTAATGAAATCCACTTGATTAGCATGCTTGGCCTTAATTAAGCTGCTATATATGTGCTCATGAAAAAAATTTAGGTTTTACTATAAAATAAATTGACAATATATAGAGTACGTACCTCAACTTATTTATATTAACCTACTTTCTCCAATGTGAGATTCACTCTCAAAAACTCTATTTTTATACTCAGGTCGAATTCTTCTTCTTGTATTTAAATGTATAGATTATAAATTACCCTGTTGTTGTTGGAAGAAAAAAATGAAAAGAAAAAAGAAGGCCACTTGATTAAGGGCTGGTTTGGTATTGCTGTGCTTTGAAAAAAAGCTATTGTGAGAATAAGCGGCTGTGCTGTGAGAATAAGCGGCTGTGAAATAAATCAGCAGAGTATTTGGTAAACTTTTTTGTAAAAGTGCTTTTGGAAAAAAAAAACAGTCTGATAGTGGGTATTTTCATTAAATGAGCACTGTAGCTCCGTGTGCTTTGAAAAAAAAGCCAGTTTTCCAAAGCTGCAAATAGCAGCTTCAGCTTTTTCCTTTGATTTCAGCCTATTCTCACAGCAGCTTCCAAAATAAGCCTTTTTTTTTTCAGTTTACCAAACACCTAAAACCCTCACAGCTTTTTTTCATGGGTGGTTTTTTTTTAAGCACCTCACTCCCAAACCACCCATAAGTACTGCATTGATGCATGGTATAGTTATAGCCAGCTTTACATTTGATAGGTGAGTGTATGAATTCAAACTATACTGACTATACATAAATTCCCTGCTTCCTCTGCGTTTTGAATATGATGGGATGTAAATATGCTTTATTTGGGCAAGCATTGATTTCAAACGGTGGAACTAGTTGGCTGAGTTGTAGGGTTTCTTCCTTTTGCAACTAAGTGGATGGTTTTGGATACTTGCTCCATGTCGACGGTCTTGTGCATATATATTATATTATTCTAATATCCTTTGTGGAAAGCTTCAGCTTGAATTACTCTGGACAGACAAATATTATGAGTACTTTATGTCTCTATACCACAAAAATTCCTAGGCAATTTTGGCCAGCAGAAATTAAGCAAATGGTTTAATTAATTTCTTCCTTAATTTTGTGATTTCTGTTGTTTTTTCATTGGTTTCTGTTCATTCATTTCTTTCATTTCACAACGGCAAATGCAGCACCCCCTTCCTTCTAAAAGAATTATATTGTACAAGTTGTCTATGTCAATTGTAAGGGCTTCCATATATAATACACATTTACTTTTAAAAACCACCAACTAATTACCAAAGTCAATAGCATGTTTACTTAGTGATTTGCTTTGTCATCTTATATTCATATTTTTTGGTTCTCCCTGTTAATTATTTTTTTGTACATTTCTATGTACATAAGTTGGATGGAATAAGGTCATAATTAATATAAAATTAAGAGTTGAGCAAATATTTTACGCTAAACTAAATATAGAAAGAGGGTCATTTTTTGGTTACTTGGAACATGGTCACTTGACATTACTATTTCACTTAAATCATAACATTTGGATTCGTTTTTTTATTAATATAAGGCGAAAGTGGGATGTATCAATCCAGTCATCCACCATTGGTATAACACGAGGAATGACACACAACGTGACCTGTGTTCTTGGTACCCATATAAATTTCTCATGAAAATGAGAGTTTGAACGTAAATATTGAGCACACTTATCTAACTATTTTGACTATGAGCTCAAGTTTCTGCATTATAGGTATTCAAATTAAAAAGAGCGGCTAGCTTTAGTTGTTTGCCATCACATTTGGGGCACAGGATATCAATCGGTCGAAGTATATCGATTTGGAATGCTAAACAAGTGCGCACTTTTGACCTAAGCGTATGCAGTTGTTAACCAATCAGGGTGAGATTTAAGATGAGGTGACTTCCATTACTTTATGCTCACTATACTCCTCACCGATAAAATATTGTTCATACACATAATATACTAGTGATCGATAAAGATATCAACGGTCTATCGCCGCACACTAATGGAGCTTCATGTTTTTGTGATCAAGGCAGCGAGAGTGCATGCATTATCTTTATGTATGGTGACTGGTGGGTGGGTGACATTGGCTGCTGAAACCCTAACCAAAAGGAAAGAGAGCGAAAAACAATGGCTGATAATCCTTGGACCTAAGTGTTGAAATATTCGTAAATAGTTTAAATATTTTAACCTCATTTCAATTAACACCGAGATCTTTTATGATAAAATTTTACACCTCTAATTATTTATGTGGGTCCATTCTCATAATAGAACCAATTAGGTTATTATTGAAAGATTGTTTATGTAAAAGTTTCAATTAAATTTGAAGCCGTTTGGTTAACAATAGTAACTAAAAGCTTAAAAACTTCTTATTTAAGTGAATTCGTTACAAGTATAATCTTTAAATGGTGACTGAAAATTAAAAATAAACAATCTAAATCGTGAGATTACAATGCGAATCAAATGTAGACGAATAATTAGTGCTTGAGCATTGTGCTGCGCGTGCTTATTCCCCTTGTCTTCGTCTAGCTCCCTCTCTCTCTTCCCGCTTTTTAAAATTTCGTTTAAATATTAGGGACAAAAGGAAGTGCATGCAATGCAAGAATGTAACACTAGTCCAAAGGAACAAATGCCAAAAAATTATGTGCGGTTCTTAACATACGACAAGTGTCATCATGTGTGACATCAGATACATGAAATGGCTTAATTGGGCACTACTAAATTTAAACCATTCGTAATATTCTACTCAAAGCTTCGTGGCTTTATGATATGTGGCAGAATATATCATAGTGTTTGCAACCATGCACAAAGAATTGATGCACTTTTTTTATATATATGGTAACATTGTGTGTGTCTGTTTATATTTAATTTGATATTCTTGTCTATGACTGACCAGGGTTTTGGGTGGTTGAAAAAATAAAAATAGGAGTGGTGGGTGCTGCAGTTGTAGCAATCAGAACAAACACCTGAGGCAGTCTTGATGATGATGCATGGAATTCGCATATTACAATTTACAACCCTTTTTTTTTTCCTTAGAGAATTAGGCATCTAATCTCTTCACCCAGCAATTTTATTATATATTCCTGAATCTTGATACGTTGCCCTATTATGTGCCCCGAGTATAAATCTTTAGAAGCTCTCATTTTATCAAGAGATGTAGCAATTTTTGTACCGTGAATTATTTATCTAATATAAACGAGATATATAAATACAAGTAGGTTTTTTGCTTCTATTTAAATGAACTAAACAAAATGATATACAAATATAATATGAGCTTGTTTAAATGTGCTTTTAAAATAACTGAAAGCGCTTTTGGTGAAAATATTTTAGGAAACAATTCTTAGTAAAAATGCTAATAAATCCTGGAAAAGCACTTAAAGTGCTTTTGGAACCCAAAAACATTTTCTCTAAAAAAACTTTCAGTTATTTTAAAAACATATCTAAACGAGTCCTATAATATTTCTGAAATTGTTCGTGATAAAATGTGAGCTTCGGATTGCAAGAATTGTTCGGTTCATCCTCATTGATAGTTGAGTTTATGCCTAATATAGTGGGTTAATCTGGGTTGGTTTTTTAAGCCCACGTAATATGAACTTGGACAAAAAGTTTTTCACCCCAAATCTACTGAGTTTTGGGCTTCCGCAAGGATCCAACTGCCAGTGGTTCCACGAGGCTTTCTCCAATGAGGTGTAAGTTCCACGTCATAACAAGAGCCGTTAGCTTATTTAATCTAATAAAATTTAAGGGCTCGTGTTCTGTTTTGTAATTTCAATGTGTATTTTTAATGAAGAAAACTCAGTGGTTTGATTTTCTCTTACTTTCTTTATGGACTCACTCCTCAAACTGAGCCCATGTTCGATGAATATGATATAGAGTAGAAGTCTACAATTAGGGTTTGGTCTCATGACCCAATGGTTTTTCAAATTCGAGTACTCCTTTTTCATATGCATGGACATAACTGATTTACCCTAACTTTATTTTATTTTATTTTTTATAAAAAAATGAACAACTGGTGGCAAACCACAATTATCCATTCCTCCGGGGACCGGAAAGACTCACTGATTTACCCTACAATTCATTTATATTGTCATAAAATAAAGAATGTAACCATTGTATATAAAATGAAATGAATACCTAAGCTATATTAAGTTACATATGAGTGCCATCTAATTTTTGGAATTACTCGCATATACAGCGAGCACATTATCTTGACCAACTGATCTAATTCACGTTTATAAATGTAAATGTCACCTACTAGCTTTTGAAATTCTTGTTCAAAATAAATAAAATCTTCCTCATCATTCATACATCTTACACTTGTAGTAATCTCGAATTAAGATACAATAAAACACTTATTTGCATTCAAGAAAATAAAAATCATTTAAGAAAATATAATCTGTTTTCATGGAATATGAAAGAAAAATGTTTTTTTCTGGGTCAAATATGAAAATAATGTTAAATATGATAAAGTCAAATCTGGACATCTTTTGATAATTGAATCGGAATTCCGAATATACTTATGTGATTATGTCATGTCATCTCCAATCCCTGACCCCAAAAATGGACTTTAAATTAGATGTTGACTAGATATTAGGCCCGTGTGCGTTGCCACGGGAACCAACTGTTTCGGGCGTAATCGAATGAATAAAACACATTTAAGTTGAATAAATTCAACACAATTATGAACAAACAAAGGAATACATAAGTGAATGAGATCGATAAAATAAGCAATTTTGCTTTTATATACATTCAAGTGAGTTGACATATAAACACATTGTACAATGAGTGGGAAGAAATTGAACGTCTTTGATTAGAAAGAGATGGTTTCCAAAAAAGTTCTGTTTCCTTAAGAAACAGAAGAAACATTTAGTTCACATATATAACATGTGTCATGCAGTGTAGACAGCCATTTCAACAGGTAATTAAAAATAGAAAGTGTTGAGGACTTGTTCAAGTAGCTAATTTTGTAACCACAACCTTTCAAAGGCAAATATAAGCAGAAGGTTTGTTTACATACAAAACTGAAGAAACAGATGCAAGCTGCAGTTTACACATATTTTGCCCTTGCAGTTACGACGGCAAAATATATGCCCTGCAGTCTACGTACCTCACTTGTGCAACATATGCCTTACACTGGAAAACATCAAAAATTGAATAAAAATTTGTAAATCATGGACAAATTTTGTTTTACATTTTTATAATCAAATCAAACGGCAGTGTAGCACGTAAAATTACAAACTTGAAGCAACCAGAGAGCAGAAATTAAGATGTAGATATATCCTCAAACTTGCAACGTATTGTATGGAAGCTAACCGTAGAGGTTTGTGAAGCAAACTGCAGCATGAGTTGCAGTCAATTGAACAAAAATATAGTAGTTTAACTAAAAAATGCATATAAACACATTTAAATTGAATAAATTCAACACAATTATGAAATGATACATGAGTGAATGAGGTCGATAAGATAAGCAATTTTGCTTTTATATACATTCAAGTGAGCTAGCATACAAACACATTGTACAATGAGTGGGAAGAAACTGAACGTCTTTGATTAGAAAGATATGGTTTCCAAAAAAGTTCTGTTTCCTTAAGAAACAGAAGAAACATGTAGTTCACACAAATGTGTCCTGTAGTGTAGGCAACCATTTCAATAGGTAATGCCAAGAAAAGGAATTAAAATATTAGGCATATAAATGCAAGCTTACAGAAACTTTGTTTTTGTACACTTTCTTCTCCCTTCAATGACAGTTTGTTTCTTACCTAGAAAAATAAAATGAGCAGGTCAATGATACTCACATGTGCAAAATGCTAATCCTATGGTCTAAAGCTAACTGAGTTTTTAAGTGTAAAATCTCTAATTTCACTGCATTTGGATTGATCACAGTTCGTGACTTGTTAAACTTGATATCTCCTTGTACATTTTGGGAACTTGACAGCTTAAAGAAATGCTCATAAAAGCAAATTACACAATATCTACTAAAAAACTTAGAGAAGGGACTCAATTAGTCAACAACCAGGTGCCTCACACTTAAATATTAAAGACCAAAGGAGAAAACGAAGCCGAACTCTTAAAAATTCGTTGGCACACATGCTTCATTGGCTCAATTGAATGTATAATACAATAATTCGAACAACAGCTCAGAAACAGTGCTGAAATTCCATTAGCACTAATCACACACTGTTGGAACAGAGATCCTAGCAAAACTACACCAATTAAATGACAGACTAAAAACCACAAACAGGAAAAAAGGAAAAACAGAGTTATCAGACAACATGATTCAAATATAATTTTATTAGGGTTTGTAAAAGCACAACCCATCCAGCACTTCGAACACACCGTGGGATTTAAAGACCATAGAGTAACATGTTGGATTCATCATTTTTGAGAAGAGACATACCTTTCATTTAAGCTAACACAAATTACATATCAAAGGATAAGGAGTACGCTCTAAGAACAGACGGAAATAAAACAAACACAGAACAGACATAACTATCATACCAAGAAGCCCCCAGACACTTACTATTGGCTTTGATATCAGTTTTACAATCTGCCTTTGATATCAATTCCACAAACGGTATCAAAGTTTTCATCTGAAGCTATTTTGACTTTATGCACACTGAGATGAAGAACCAATATATATTAATTATACCTCTGGGATATTTGGGTGGTCAAGCTTATGCCAAACAGCAACCTCTTGCTGAAACGACGCCCGAAGAGCAGCAGTTTCAGCTATCCTCCCCCCAATCCAATATCTTTAATTTTTCACTATAATATCAAGAATACATAAAGCCATGAGAACAATATTGATAAGAAAAATACAGGATAACCTACGGTTAGGGGTTCATTATTCAATCAAATAACACCGCTTTCTTACACTCAATCAAAAAATTTATGTATTTGTAAATTTGTACATACACCTAGGCAAACAGTCACATGTATTCTTTTTCTCCAATGAAATAAAACACCCCCCCCCCCCCCCCCGAGTCTAATAATGATGAAAGTGATTGACCCCAAGAACCCCAAAACAAACAAACTAAACATGCCAATCCAAAGAACACAAAGCATATAAAAAACAGTTAACCACACACTTAAGCACATTTGCGTCTGCACAGTGGCCATTTATTAGGTCATAATACACATGAGTAAACCCTAAAACACAAAAATCAAAGTTACAAACTTTCAATACAAACCAATCGAGAATGAATTTATACCACACATTCTGGCATAAAAGAAAAGAAAAATCAATACTAATATTTGACTGCAAGCAGATCTTGTGGGACTGCTACAAATAATATAAACCAGTAGATTTCCGTAATAAAATATAACCACAGATGAATGAAGGGCTATTAACTTAATATTTAGAAATAACCGTCAGTCCCTAGCTATTATGCATGCCACTAATGAAAGGAGGGATCACCATTTATTAAGGTACCTGGAATTCACCAATACCAGGATATTTCCAACCATGCTGTTCAGGATAAGAAGGATATTGTAGCTATCCACACGGACCTAATCCAACTTCAATTTCTAATATTATTCCTTCCTAAAAAAACTCATCAAATTCAACTCTGAAGCTCCTCAAGTAGTCTAAGTAAACCTGCATTGGTTCCATTATAATATAATAAAATAGAAACTCTCAGCATTAAACAGTAAGAATGCATAGGGTCTGATTCTTAGAGCATACAAATTCTTAGAAATATAGAACATATAAGTTGGAATAGGTTTAGCAATAGTTTCTTTTAAAACATGAGTGGAACATGTAAAAGAAGACAAATATAGGAAAGGAGATATGACAATCCATAGAAATAAAAGACCAACATAACTAAGTAATTCTAGAATACTATACCTCAACAGCAGTGCGGCCTCTTAAAACCCGCTCTTTATCAATTCCCCAAGTGAGACATTCAGTGTTGCGTTTCCCTTCTTTATTAGTAAAATATATATATCAGGATTCTTTTGGCCAATTTCTGTCACCCAGTGAGAAAGAGGGATAAGTACATCATCCCCGACATCGCCTCCACACTCGTGGAATGACATCGACCTACACCAATATACAGCAAGACAATGCACACCATATCCAACATGCATATTCAAAGAAAATATGTAGAGCAGAAAATCTCTTTTTGAAATGAGTTTTAACTGATAGTCTCACAAACTAATTTACAAAAAAGAAAGCTAGCAGTGGGTTACTTTTCAGCAATCTACTTAAGACTATTATTCCCTTTACCTAAGACAATAGTCAGAATAAACTTAATTTATATACAATGCAAGCCAAAAGAAGCAACAATTGGTATTCAACCTCACTTCCAGAAAATTACTCAAAAAACAATGAGATAAAAAGTTTCAAAAATATGATGCATATTTCAATCGAGCCTCATTAACAACAGAAAATACAGCAGCACAAAGCATAACAGAAACTTGGAAATGGAAAAGGAACCTGCAATTAGGTTTCTTCAGAAGCAAAAATGGCATTATGGAACCCAGAATCAGAGAGAATCACACAGAGAGAGAGAGAGTGGAGTGAGCCGGTCTGAGCAAAAATAAAGATACTGAGCTTTAGAAAGTAGGAAAGGATGTTGTTACTATCCACTAATTGTATTGTTCCATTCAGTAAAGCAACCAATGCAGTTCTAGGCTCATAGTTCCTATTCACATTAACCCAAGAAAATCGAGCTTCAAACTGAAATTTAAAATCAACATTGACCCAAAATACAACTTCAAATCAAATTTAAAATTGATATTGGCCCAAGAAATAAAATTTGATCCGCTTTAAACTCAGAAATTCGAAACCAACCCATCACCTAGAAAAGTACCAAACAGCAAAAGAAAAGGAGGAGAAAGGAAGACACCACATTTTGCAACCCTTTGAGTTTTTTAAGTCTAAATCTTTCCGCTTCTGCTTCTTCAATGCTTAAAATTTTCACACTCAATGACTATTGTCTCCCATTCTTCTTTACTCGGCTTTAAAAATAATTTCCATAGAATAAATAAGCAACAATTTTCTATGAACAAAAAAAAGTGGTAAGAATTCTCCCTCAGAAAAAAAAAAAAAAAAAGAATGCTCACAATTTTGTCTGGCAAATACTCCAGCTTTGTATCTTCCTAACATAGGATCTATTCTTTTCCTGTAAGAAAGATTATTCTCTTGTTGCCCGTTGGAATATAAGGGAATGTATATTATTTTCACATTTGAAAATAACTCAAGTTTCTTACAATAAAAAGTAAAATTGTTTGCAGTGTGTCTTTGCGTACTAACAATGCGAACCCCAAGTGACAATGCAATTTCCCGTTCTAAAGCGAAGGAAAAAGAAACGAAAAATTGAAGAAACCAGCCTTTTTGTTCAGTGTGATGGCTGACAATTTATCTAATGGGAATATGAATAGTTGTGTTACTCAATACAAAGTGCAAATAAAAATTGAAGAAAGCACTTGAAGATGAAATGAAGTGTGGGTAAAAAACAAACAAATGAAAATTGAAATTGAGATATATATGTGAACAATGAAAATTGAAATTGAGATATATGAACATTCATTCTTAGAGATGGAAGGGGAGAGAACAAAAGATACTAATCAGCATATTGCCAACATATATCTCAGAAACCACCAGATTAGTAGTAAGGTAGATTGTTAAAGCTGTTTGAGAAACTTTTGTCTACAATATTATGAAGGAATGCAAACTAAGTAATTGGTAGCTGAACGAAAATTTGGCAAGGATTTACAAAGTAACTCTATGAAATTCATCAATAAATCATCTATACAGACGCACATGTTCCCAGTCACAATGATTAAAATCTAAAACATTTATTCATGCATTCGTGCAGGGGAAAGAATGGACTCAGCCTGGTTTCTATCAAGTGTCAACAAAAGAACACAATTCAAGTTGCACAAAGCCAAATTAAATGCATAAGTGAGATAAAAATTGAACATACCGCATGATTGTCCTCAATCTTCATCAACCGTGAATCATGAATTATGGATATTATTCGGACCACGAATGTGTAAACCCTCCAATTACGGTTGGTAATCGGGTTCAAAATAATGTTTGTAGAAGTGTGCTGATTCCTTGAATAAAAAGCAGAGTCTGCACTATTCCCACTTTGTCACCCTAATCAATTAAGTCAAATAAGGAGCACATTCATCATCCATATCAGTCCATATAAAATACACAAACATTAAAAAAAAAAATCAATCTTGACCATTTTTGCTATGCGAAACTGACGCTTAATTCTTTTTTAAGAAATTAGCATAATAATACACAAAATTTACTTGAATTTAGTCTCCAATTGAACAAAGGCCACAACGATATAAGAATTGAATGAAAGTGGTATACAAAATCAACTCACATCATCACCACCCATCAAAGGAACACGGAATGTGGGGATCATCACAGCGGTTCCCAAGGCCAAAATGTAGTGCTGGAAACCCAAAGCAATTGTTTCCCCTGTTTTCAAACAAAAAATGAGAACCAAATTGGGGAAATTTTAAAACCCAACAAAAAAGTCGAGATTTGGGTTTGAGAAAAGATGAATAATAAATGAGAAAAGGTGAAAAATAAACATACCCCAAGAGGGATTTGAGTCAATGCCTTACTCTAATCCTTGGAGTTGGTCCATTGCTGGATGGCTTATCTCTTCTGGTTTTGGAGTTGCCATGGCTTATGCCCAAATCAAAACCCTTAATCTGCCTCTAAATCCAAAAGGGTTTTTACCAAATGAATCAAAGAAAACTGATTTGAGAGAGAAATTCTCTCTGGGTTTTGTTCAATGAATACAAAAATGGAAGTTATTTTTACCAATTTAGAGAGAGAAAAAACAGAGAGAGATTAGAGTCTATGACAATGAAAAAAGCACAAAAGAGAAAAAGCTAATGGATCATGGAGGTAAAAGAGGACTGATGACCACACAACCCTCTCTCTTTCTGTCCCTCGAATTGCACTCTCCCTGTCACCGCGGCCCGCGGCCCATTCCCTCAGAACCCTACCCCCAAAATCCCGCTCAACCCTCTAGTTCGAATTGGACTTTTGCTCTACCCCAAAAATATTTAAAATGTTCTTAAATGACTACTTTCAACTAAAAGAGTAGAACCAAATCAAAACCAACAACTTTCAACTAAATTGCACAAAAGAGTCAAAATTTAATTGCTATACAGAACTATCGGTTCAATCGAAAACAATCAGAATTCGAGACCCTACCTCATCCATTCTCTGAGAGCGAAGCCCTTCTCAGGCAGCATCTCCGACGGCGCTGGCAAAATCGGATCGTCGGACCCGCCAAACCCTCCATCAAAACCCTGACCGTTCGATTCGGGCCTCAAGTATCCCTACTGGTCGAAGCAGCAGCAGAAGAAGAAGATAAGGAGGAAGACGATGGACGTTCATAATCGAAGAGTTCGAAGGGATTTACCTTTGGATTCTTCGGCTTTCAGATGGAGTTTGCTTGTGTGTGGGCCTGCAACTTCGTTTGCAGGCGTGATGTTTCCATGGAATTTCTCTCGGGTTTACATAGATAGCAAAGCGAGAGAGAAAGCTTATGCAGAAGGGGAAGTGTGTTTTGTTGAGATTTTGAGTTGTAGGTAGAGCTAACGAAGGGAGATGAGAGCGAGAAGTGGAGCGGCTAGGGTTTGAGTATGGAAGAGATGAAAAATGGAGAGAGCACCTGTTTTGGCTGAAGCACGGCTCACCGAACGAAGAATAAAGAGGCGGTGGCAATTTTGTAAATAACTCTCAAGTCACTGTTCATTTCTACAGTGCCATTTCCAATGCTTTCTTTGGACTAAAGTAATGGTATGGTTGTAATTAAACTGAAATTCAGGTGCATGAACAGTAAGGAACAGTGCCAAATCCAATGCTTTCTTTAGACTAAAGTAATATTATGGTCCCAATACTATTAATAAATTGGTCCCAATATAATCGACACACAAAATTTATAATGTCGATAATAAAAAAGTAATTTATATAAAATGATTTCCCCATCACTTGAAGTATTAATTTACTTAAACAATAATATATATAAATTTAATTGTTTTATTTAAAAAAAGAATGTCACATGACTACTGTTATATGTAAGTCCTCCAATAATAATAATAATAATAGGAAACTTTAACAAAAAAACTTGCGGTAGTATTCATTCTAACGAAAAATTACATTTTTACATTAAAAAATTAATCATGATATTATTCATTTATTTTGCCCATAATAATATGAATTAGCCTATAACCTTAATCTGTCTGTAAATCCAAGCAAGGCAAAGGGAGAGGAAGGAGGACTGAGAGTGAGAGGGAGTGAAATGCCCCAGCAAAATACACGTGCGGTGCTATTTCAGAAAAAGTCCACCACTTTAACCCCACCCACGCAGCCGCCACAACAGCTCCTCCACAATCCCGGCAATTACTCCCAGCAATTGCATTCAATCGGTATCTCTTCTGGGCGTTTTGGCCCAAAAACTGATCTGGGTCACCTTCAAATTCATCAAATTTCCACTGTTTGCAACCGAGTTGCTTCCACAACTGGTCTTCGTCCTATAATCTGATCTGGGTCGTTTCCAAAATCGCAAATTTCCAACACCAACGGCCTCAATTGCTTCAAATTTTGATTTTTTGGCGCCGATAATTTAATCTTGTTCTGCTACCCAGAAGCATGTTTTCTCTGTCGAATTCAGTGTTGTTTCCTCTGGCGACATCCAGCGGCTTCACATCCAAAGGTTTTTCTCGGCCCGTTCGATTTGCCAGGACGATCAATTGGCATAGTAGTGACAAGCAAAAGGAAGAGCCCAGAAACGTTTTGTGCGCTTGTATGGCGCCTCACCCGAACCTGCGCAGCGATGAATCCTTTGCTACAAAATTTGAGGTAGTCTTAGACAACCTTTTAAGAACCCATGTTTTTGTTTAGTAAAGCAACCATTTTGTATGCTGATTTGGCTTCTATTGACATCTACATTATATTGTTATTTGTTATTCCCTTTGTATTGTTTTCGATAAGCTGCAGTTTGGAGAACTTGTTTCGTGTTTTGATCACCGTGTTGGATTTCCAATGGTCAGATGAAATGCGTAGTTAGATGTTGTAGTAGCTAAAAATAATCCAGATCATAAAATGGTAGCTGTGGCTGACATGGTTTTTCTGATCAGGATTCATTTAAATCAGAGGATTTAAGTAGAGTTCAGGAGCCTGAGGGTGATTCGGATGTTCTGATCGAGTGTAGAGACGTCTACAAATCGTTTGGCGAGAAGAATATATTGAGAGGTGTGAGCTTCAAGGTGAATCTTGTTCATTTGATATTTAGTTCTTTTAAAAATTTATGTGCATTGATTGTCTGTGGAGGTAGCTTAGGTTTGAACTTTGCTATTGTCCTGAGACCATGATAATTCTTGGTCAAGACAAGAGTATCAAAAGTTAAATTCTTTAGCTTGAATTTTTGTGTCGTAAACCATTTGAAAACTAGCGATTCACTTCAGTTGAAGAATTCAGTGCTTTCTTTACCCTGTGACTGCATACTTTGTGAAAAGAAGAGTAGTCAATTCTCTGTTTGGCATCTGAATGGGATTTAGCTTGTGGGTTATGTAGTAGATTGTTATGCTTATAACAGGTAGTTTGGGTTGTTTCTCAATTAGATAGGCTGGGAAAGCGTTGCAATGGGATTTCTAGAATGAAAGAAACAAGAATGCTACTCTTTTTGTAAGGATGGGAATGGTGTTGTTTAGGACTGTTTTCTTCTTACCTATCCTGTGTATTGTTTCCTATAACATTGTTCTTTAACGTTGAATGTGCTACTGGTCTTCCCTTTCATTGCTTTGGCTTTCCTATATTTTCAATATAATTTCTGTTTCTAATAAAAGATATTATTGGTCATTCGTGGATTCATTTATAGATTAGGCATGGCGAAGCTGTTGGAATAATTGGGCCTTCTGGCACTGGAAAATCTACAGTTCTGAAGATAATGGCAGGGCTTCTTGCTCCTGACAAGGTTGATAGTTAAGCTGGTTTTCATATTATTCTAACCTTTGTTGCATTAACTTTTGTCTAGACATTATTGAGCTTCAATGAGTTAGTTGTTGTTCTCTTATAAAGATTCTGTCCATTGTGTAACGAGCAGGGAGAGGTGTACATTCGAGGTCGAAAGAGAGTTGGTTTGATCAGCGATGATGAGATATCCGGTCTTCGGATTGGATTGGTAAACTTCACTGTTATGCTAGGGGTCATCTATTTCTTTCTGGTTCACTTGTATACAAAAAATGTCTTTTAATGCATTTATCTACTACCTAACAGGTGTTTCAGAGCGCTGCACTTTTTGATTCTTTGACTGTTCGTGAAAATGTCGGTTTTCTTCTGTAAGTCAGCTTTAAATTCTTTTGAATTTTGGCACTCTTTTCCACTGTTAGGACTGATAGATTAGGTTTCAATAGAACTGTCAAAGTATAATTTATTTTTAATTTATTAGGTACGAAAATTCGAGCATGCCCGAGGATCAAATTGCAAAGCTTGTGACTGAGAGCTTGGCCGCAGTCGGGTTAAAGGTATGGTTAAAATGTCAATTATCACTTATCAGTCTGCAAAGTAGCTACCTTCCTCAACTTACCCCCTCCCCTCCCTCCCAACCCAAAAAACAAACATGTAATATTTTTCACCAAGTATTTCTGAGCATCTTCCCACCCTTGGCATCAACTGTCTTCTAATGATCTTGTTAGTATGGGATGTAATATTTTGATATCACTGCTCACCAACCAACCCCACCACCACTAAATAGAATGGAGTTTGACTTTGACTTTTAAGTTTGTTTAAATCAATCTTGGTTATTTGTATAGGGAGTTGAAGATCGATTACCTTCGGAGCTGTCTGGTGGAATGAAGAAACGAGTTGCTCTGGCTCGATCCATAATTTATGATACCACAAAGGAAGCGATAGAGCCAGAGGTATTTTGAGAAGATGATAACTTTATTTAATTTGTTTCCTTGGATAATGTTTTCATAACTGTTGCCTTTCTCGTGAGTCATGATTCCCATTGCATTCCTTCATAGTCCCAAGTATCAATAGTATCATTCATCTGAGTTTAAGATGTAATTGCGTACTGTGTGTTCTCATGAGTCCTGACAGTCTTTTACGCCCTTCAACAGGTGCTCTTATATGATGAGCCAACAGCTGGACTTGATCCTATTGCATCTACTGTGGTAGAAGACCTCATCCGCTCTGTTCATACAAAAGGTCAGGATGCAGTCGAGAAACCTGGGCAGATCGCATCTTATGTTGTTGTTACTCACCAACATAGTACCATCAGACGAGCTGTCGACAGGTTATGTGCCTCATCTAAATTGACATGTTTTTATTGAACAGCTGCATTGATTGTGTGACATGTGTTTTAAACAAAGTGTATACAAATTCATTATGTAGGTTGTTGTTTCTCTACGAGGGCGAGATAGTCTGGCAAGGAATGACTCATGAATTCACAACCTCAACAAATCCAATCGTTCAACAGGTAATGACAATTTTGGTCTTGCAATGACTCATGATCCTGAGACCAAGTACTTACTTCTTTTTATGTGGGGGTTGTTTTCAGTTTGCATCCGGGAACTTGGACGGTCCGATTAAATATTAGAACTCGTCCTTGGTGTGCATAGTAGGCAAGACACGAAGAAAATGCTGGGAAATGGGTCAGATGGTGGCTCTGCCTCCTTTCTCATACTTCATTGCAGTCAATTGGAGCTCATGCCAACAATTCTCAGTGGCTAACAAAAATCATATGCCAATATGAATCTTTAGGCGTGCATCCGAGTTAAGAGAGCCATATTCAGAATAAGACATGGCAAAAAGATGTCAAGGTTGGCCTCGTTCTTATTTATAACTAATAACTTTCTTACTAGTTTAGTTTCAAGTTTTTGAGCTCCGGCGCCTGTTTTCAGCCCCGTTGTTAGAGAAAATGTATTCAAAACTGAAGAATATACGATTGATTGTATATCGAATGACAAAATTTATACTCTTTGGGCATTCCTCATATAGGAGAGGTTCAGAACTGATTTCGTCGTTGTAGTTCTAATGAAAGATTAATATCATGCACGTTTTTCGTGTCTTTTTATCTTATGAATGAAATTCTTCAACTCTCAGGGAGCAATATGCCCGAATAGAAACATATATTTGAACAAATTCTTGCCTACAACGTCGTCATTAAAACTTATGCAATACTTTTATGAGCATTCTGGGTAGGAAGGAACAGCTAGGTTCTATGTTAGCAAAGCAAAGCATGGAAGAACAAACTCACCCGTTACAAGAGAGTAATTAAAATTTACAGCTTCTCGTTGTCATCCGAATCCACACGCACATTACGCTAAGCACTTGTCTTGAGAATGTGATTTCGTGCTCGAGGTGAGCAGAAGAGGGCCAACCCCGTGAAGTAGAAACTGAGGAAAGCACTTAGACAAAAAACCCATACAGAAATCCGCCCCTCGACCTCTTCCCCTTCAAATGCCTTCCCAGGCACCGCGGGGAGGCTTGCCGGGTCACACCCTCCATCAGAGGACTCCAAACACAAATCTGGATTTCCAACAAAGGCTCCTGGAAACCTCGAATATCCTTGCTTCTTCGTAACCAATCCAGAGAAACAGTTATATGACAAATCCATAAGAGTCAGGTGTTGAAGGCTGGAAATGTTTTCGGGAATATGACCTGACAAAGAATTGTGTGATACATCTAAGGCCCTTAAACTCCACATCTTCTCTAGATCTGGAACACGACCACGAAGAAAATTGCGTGACAAATTTAGGTATTGCAAACCGCGTAATCCAAATAGTCCCCCTGGAACCTCCCCATCTAGCACATTATTGGAGAAATCGATTCCCACCATCGAAGATAGTACATAATTGAAGCTTAATTCGCTGCTACCAGTGACAACAATCAAAACTTTTGTATCCGCATTGTGCGATGTACCAAATGGCTCTCTCTGCATTTTACCAAGCTCGCCATTGTTAAAATTTATGCTCGTGTTAAAGTTAGCGTCTGGTATGAAGCCTGAAAATTTGTTTCCTGACAGATCTATCATTCTGATAACCGGAAAAGTAAAGAGCCAGCTGGGAAGATTTCCGCTAAATTCATTCTGAGCTAGGGACAGATACCTGAGGTTTGACCATTTGGTGATTGCATCACTCAAGGTTCCGGAGAGATTGTTGGAGCTGAAATCTACAATCTCCAAAGATTTACAGCCTGCTAAAGTAAGCGGGATCTCACCAGATATCTTGTTGTTGCTGATATCCAGTATCTTCAAGCTATCCAATGCATCAAGTTCTGGATGAATCTCACCAGAAAGATTGTTGTTGTTGAGTATCAATGCAAGCAGCTGAAAACATCCGACCATGTTCAACGGAATTGAGCCTGATAGAGAGTTGTGCGAGAGATCAATCACTTGGAGATAAGTCAGATTTCCAATCCTCGCAGGAATCTCCCCCACAAGAAGATTGTATGACAGAAACAGGGCCTGCAAACTTTTCAGTTCGGTAATCTTCAATGGGATTTCACCAGAGAAACTGTTGTGAGACAGATCAAGAAGAACAAGCCCAGACTTGTCTGTTGTTTCCGCAATCTTGCTCGGAAGAGGGCCAGACAACTCATTGTTACTCAAGTCCAAGACAAGAAGCTTCTCTGAAAACACAAGCCTCGGAGATATCTCATAAGTCAACTGATTGAATGACAGGTTCAGATGCTTCAAAGCTTGAAGCGAAGCAATACATGTAGGCATTCCTCCCACAACAGAATTGTTAGCCAGATTCAAAACTCTAAGAGACTGAACACAAGCAGAGAAACAAGGCAAAGTACCGGAAAACTGATTTGATTCAAGATTGAGAAAGACCAAAGATTGGTGAAAGTCACTCAGAATACCAGATAAATTATTGTTCCCAACATCTAAATACTTCAAAGATTTCGAGTACAACAAGCTTTCAGGAATCTCCCCATGGAACGAATTAAACCCAATATCTAGTTTCTCCAACCGAGATGAAAAGTTACCTACCCACCAAGGAACAAGCCCTCCCAAATCGTTACCATTCAAAACAAGTTCTTTCAGCTGCCTAAGCCTCATGAGTGCATCAGGCACAATCCCCTGAAACCTATTGTGATCAAGATGGAGGGTTTTGAGACTGCGCAGAGAACCAAAACACAACGGGACTGGGGAAGTAAAGTTGTTTTCAGACAAAACCAAATGTTCAAGAAATGGAAGTTTGCACAAATTGGGGTGAATTTGGCCAGACAAATTCATGCTGGTCAAGTTAACCGAAACCACTCTGCCGGTCTGGTTTTCGCAGGTGATTCCGGTCCAGTTGGTACAATTAGACCCAACCCAGCTGGACAAGCTCTGGCTGGGGTCTTGAACCAATGACCTGAACAGCAAGACAGAGTCTTTGTCTTGTGGGTAAAGATCAACACACTGAGAAAGGTTTGAGCATACAAGCACTAACAATACCAATAGCAGTGCACGTAATTTCAGAGTACCACAGGGGCAAAAACCTGAAACCCATTTGTGTTCCATGGCTAAAAAAGTAGAGGAGGGTTTTCAGAAGGGTTGAAGAACAGCAGCAGCAGCAGCTTAGTGGCAGCAGCTGTAAATTAAGGCAGTAACAAGGGTGAGAAACTAAAGCCCATCTTCCCCAAGATGGATTAGAAGCAAAGTATTGGACAAGCTGAAGAAAAAGGTCAGTGGCAGTAGCTAGAAATTAGACCTACCACAGGGGTAAAAGCAGGAAAAAAAATCTTGAAGAAGATGGATGAGAAGCAAAAATTTTGGACAAATAGAAAAACATGAATGCAATGTAATAAGTGACTAGTGCAGAGGGGGAGAGAGAGAGACTTACAGATGATAGTGTGGAAGAAGCAAAGAGGATTATGGAATGTGGAAAAAGGAAGCCATTAAAGCTTCTTTCCCTTTGCTTTTTTATTTATTTATTTGTTTTTTTTTTAAGAGGAGCTGAGTTCAGTTGTCTGGGCTGGTAATGGAAAGTATAGACCTGTAAACCGGATCCAATACTGCTTTGGGCTGAGTAACCAATCGAGCAAAAAATAAACTTTAATGAAAAGTTTCCGGTACTGTTTATTTTAACGAAAAATCATATTTTTATACTAAAAAAATCAATTCTGGTACTATTTATTTTATCCTTTATTTTTGTCTTTATCGTTAAAACTCAAAGTTTTCAAGCTATTTTCATTAGTTTTTCTAAAATCCAATTCAATTTAAAGGAAATTTGAGTTAGGGCAATTTGTGAGCATATCATGTTGGAAAAAGCTCTGAAAAACTGCTATATATTTTATTGTAAACTATTAAACAATACATACACGGTAATATTTCTATTAATGCAAAAAAAACAAGAAATAGAAGAACCTTAAAAGATCGAGGCTAGAATTTGATTCTCTAGCCTTAAGACAAGTTTATTGGTTTGTTTACTATATTTGTTTTGTGAATAATATCTTGACTTATTGGTTTGTTTGCTATATTTGTTTTGAGAATAATATGCTACCGTGATAAAATAAAGGTTGATCCTAATGTTTTTAATAGAAGTGGTATTTATATTCTAAATTACCCTATGATGAGGAAAAATAGTTTAAACCTGGAAAGCTTGAAAGAATAATATTAAACCGGCAAAAACAATTCCTTGCTTGCTTTCATATAATGAAATAATTTAGGATACAATTTTATTTTTGTCCAAAAATAAAATTCAATTGTCATTTAGTATTACGGTCATGTGGTATTTCTCTTCACCTGAAAGTGAGAGGTCTTAGGTTCGAATCTCGTGGATGGTGAATTCGATACTAAATTAGGATATCTATTGTGTGACTTAGCCGAACTTCCTCTCTCCTTAGTGTAAAAATATCAATGTACTCAAATAAAATAAAATAAAATCAATTTAATAGACATGAACGTAATCATGAGCATAACTACATTAATTAGAACATATATGCTCTCCTAATCGAAATTGGATCCCCTCCGGATCCATATACAATTATTATAACTTTTAGAGAGTTCCTTGTTTGTAACCGTTATATCAAATTTTAACGGTCCGGATCGCCTGCTCAACAAGCTCAGTTTTGTTGAATTCGGAGGGGATCCGGTTCCCTCATAATCAACTCAATCCTTCTGTCTACAATTTATATTAATTTAAAATAGAGTATCGTTGCTACAATAATTGAAATCCTCTGATGCCTCTTTATGTAAGAGGAAACATATATAAAATATTGATCGTATAAATAAAAAATTGAACAAAGACCAATTTGAAAATTCCAACATTCTTGTATGGAAACCTTTTTGACCATTAAGTTACATCAATATCATATATTAATTTTTTATAAAAAAAAAAAATAGAACAGAGAATGTAAAAAAATATGATAAAAGATGATGAAAAGAGAAGTCAACATTATATATTAATTTAAAAAAAAAAAATAGAACAGAGAATGTAAAAAAATATGATAAAAGATGATGAAAAGAGAAGGAGAGGGAATTCTAATCCGAACACCTGGGCAATAATGGACTGGAAGGAGGTAAAGAATGAGACTTGAGAGAAAGATCAAATCTTTGACTAAATAACAAAAGTAATAATCGCAAATCAGATTACCCTTTAGCTAATTAATCATCCACCGAAAGCTCAGAACTTGTGTCTGATTAAGTCATCAATTCTCATCCACATCTCCTCAGAAATTACCAGAATATTTCGGTCTGAGTTTCGAGAGACACATTTGATGGGCCTTTACCTTCAGCTTCTTCCCCTCCTCCATCAATGGCCAAACCTCCTCATTTCCCTCCTTCCTTCTCTTTACTGACCCTTCACAGATTACCCATTACCGGTTTCCACCTCTTCCTCTTCTTCCTCCACTCCCTCTCGTAACTTTCGTCCTTTCACCGGCTTTCCCCCGGTACCCTTCTGTTCTTCCTGTTTGTTTCCCCAGAAAGTTTCCTCTCTTTGACTTTCTCAGGAATCCTTTATCCGATCTGGGTTTTCTTCGTTTTGCTGTTTTTCTTCTTTGAATATACAAATCAAACGCAAAGAAAATTGCTTTCTGTCAATTTCCCGGGAAAACAATAGAACTCAGTTTTTGAGTTTATCTGCTGAGGTAAATTTCGATTTTTAATGAATATTTTATGCTAATCGAGCAGAAATGGAGAGATCTCTAGAATTTTGGTTAATTTTGTTTAATTTTCGAACAGAAATTTGGGATGGCATCGGTGTTTCTGTACCATGTTGTTGGTGATCTAACGGTGGGGAAGCCGGAGATGGTGGAGCTGTGCGAGACGGAGACGATGGAGGCGGCGATAAGGGCGATCGGAGAGTCGACGGAATGCGGCATACCGGTGTGGAAGAAGAAATCGCACGTGGGAATGGTCGAAAACAATGAATTGCTGCAGCAGAGGTTCGTGGGAATCCTTAATTCCCTCGACATTGTTGCTTTCTTTGCTAAAAGCGAGTGCCTTGAGGATCATGACAAGGCTTTGAAGACTCCGGTGTCTGATGTTGTTGCTCCGAATAATTCTTTGCTCAAGCAGGTTGATCCTGCCACAAGGTTAGCTACTACTTCGCAAGCTTACTACTTTATATGGTAATGCTATCAATTCTGTTGATCTTAAGTGTTGTTTCTACGGTTATTGATCACGGTGTTTTATTATTCGAATCGTGTTTTGTGATTTGGTTTTGATATCTTGCACTTGAAGTAATTTGTGGTGATTGGTGTTTTTTCGGTGGCTAATTGTTGTGGGATGATTTCTGTTGGATTCAGTGTATGATTGTACCGATTGAGAGGTTAACTTGTTAGCGTTGCAGTATGACCTTGTGTAAAAAATCTATGATTTGTTTTCGTATTCCACCGGTAAAGGGGGATTCCTAAGTGGCATATATTGTTTAGTTGTTGATCTTTGTGCTTCTACTTCCTTTGCTCATATTGATGTTTATTTCTGCATGCTGCGGGCACAATTCCGTTCTCAATGTGATGTGAAATCTGTTTTCTTTCTTACCGCTTCCATCCATCTGTGGATCATTGGTTCAATTTCTGATATTCGTAAAGCAAGGAAATTCTTTGGAAATCTGAAGTTTAAAGAAATAATTTCTACTGGGGATATGATACATATGCATCCATTTCTTGACGTCTCCAACCAAAATGGCATTTTCTTTATGAGTTACTAGTTGTGAAGTTCTGTAGTATGTTTTGGATGTACATTGATTAGCGAAAGAAACAAGAAATGATTAATTAAAAGTGAAATGTGCATTGTTTCCAATTTTGGATTTCTGTTTATGCAAGGTTGGTAGATGCGCTGGAGATGATGAAGCATGGTGTAAAGCGTCTTATTGTTCGAAAGAGTGTGGTATGGAAAGGCATGAGCAAACGTTTCTCTATTATCTATAATGGCAAATGGCTCAAGAACATGGATGCTAGTGGCAGCAACAATAACCCTTCTGCCAATCCCAATCGGCCTTCCTCATCTTCCACTAGCAGTACCCTCGACAAGTTTTGCTGTCTCTCAAGAGAAGATGTCATCCGTTTCCTGATTGGTTGCCTAGGTGCCCTAGCACCTCTTCCGCTCTCCTCTATCTCCTCTCTTGGAGCAATTAACCCAAACTACCAATTTGTTGAAGCCTCGGCTGCAGCCATTGAAGCCACTAAAAAACTTCCTGACGACCCTAGTGCAATTGCTGTTGTCGAACAGACACAGGATGATGAGTATAAGATCATCGGAGAGATCTCTGCTTCCAAACTATGGAAATGTGATTACTTGTCAGCAGCATGGGCTTTAGCTAATCTCTCCGCTGGACAGTTTGTGATGGGAGTGGAGGATAATGTGTCCTCAAGGTCAGAATACAATTTCTCTTTGCGTCCAGCTGCTGGCAATAATAATCAAGCTAATGGTGGCGGGTCAGCAAGGCCGAAGAAGTTCAGTAGCAGGAGTATAGGGTTCAATCCAGCGAGCCCAAGCATGGGAGTGAGCAGAAGCATGTATAGGGGTAGAAGTGCACCCTTGACCTGTAGGGTTACGAGTTCATTGGCGGCAGTGATGGCTCAGATGTTGTCTCACAGGGCAACTCATGTGTGGGTGACTGAGGATCACAGTGATGATATTGTAGTTGGAGTGGTGGGTTATGCAGATATTATGGCCGCTGTCACTAAACAACCAGCCCCCGCAAACCCTCCACTTGGTCGGACGACTGAGGTTTCTGGTAACGATATTCACCGTTGAGTTATTCATCGTTTTTCCTTTCTCCGCCATGCTTCTTACATTGTACTTTCCGAAATTTATGTTTCATATGCAACTTGTGCCGGCTAGGATGTAAAAATGGGTTTAAGACTGGGTTTTGACCTTTTTGTAAAACTTTCTTGCCATAACGAATAATGTACCAAGTGAAATAATCCACTTGTATTTGATTTTACTCATCGACGTTACGTTACACATCTTATTGGCAAATAATTTCTTTACAATTTTGAGAGAAAAATTTCTGTCTGCATTTTGATTAGCAGGGTTTATTGTAAAGTTATCAAATAGATTCGTTGATAACCGATTGCTGCTTTTGCTGCAATCAAGAAGATCAGCGAAGGGCGATGAAGGGTAAATCCGAAATGAGGACAAGGAACGCACCCTGCATACGTTGCCTCAAACACTCTAGGGTTAGCAGCTTCAGAGCCACTAGGGCACAAGCAAAACTTGGTCAGTCCCATAATCTCGTGGTAATTTTGTCCCTTTGGAAGGTACTCATGGACTTGGATTTCATCATCCTTGTCCCTGCAATGTTCAAACAAGAACTTCCTTATGTCTCCATTAGCACCGCCAGCGAAGGCGGCCAGGATAGGACGCTTATCGGGGTGGTGGTCGAGGAGTGATGGACCAAGAGTGTGCTCCGGTAAATTGTATTCCGGTAATGAGTCGTCTCTCTTGAGCTGGAACCCTTGTAGAAGTCACGGTCGTCGTCTATGATTACGGGTGACTGCTAAAGCAAAAGAAAGATGGATAGGTTTAAGAATTCAACAAAACAGAAGGGTATGGAACCCTACGCATGGAAAACAGAATGGAATGAATGGGTAAGGGCTCGTCCCTTGTTGTCAAGAGAATTAAGTTATAATTTTGTCAACTTCCCATTTGAGAAGAGGTTTTTTAGTGTGTCTGAAATACAGGCACATATCCACTTGTACAACAACATATGACGTACCGTTCAATGTTCCGGACACATTAAAAAATATCTCCCACTTGAGGGTATTTCCCTCACTGTTTTATCGTGTTCTCATACGAACTCCAATAGAACACGTACATAGGTGTTCATTCCCAACAACCATGTCAACCAAATAAATTTACATCTTCAATACACAACAACCAAATCAACTACATTTTCAATTTACAACCACCACAGTTGTAACTATTCAATTTCATTACATATGGACTTATTGTATATTTGTATCATATTTTAATGGGAACTTTAACGAAAAACTTCTGATACTGTTCACTTTAACGAAAAACCACATTTTTACACTAAAAAGTCAATCATGGTACTATTCACCTTACCCTTTATTTTGTTCTTATCGATAAAACTCAAAGTTTTCAAGCCATTTTTTATTAGTTTTCCTTATTTTAATACTACGTAACGTGATATTTGTAATCATAGTGATATTAGGCAAATATCATATTTTTGTATCATCACATGTATTTAATGTAGCGAACACTTATGATTAGTGACTCGAGTAACCTTGCGAATATCACAACCTTATTGTTTTACGTTGTTCCAAAGTTCACCCGATTTTGTGTATCAACAACTACAATCACCATAATACATATAAGTATGGTAGCAAATTCCTCAGTTTAAAGGTCAGAAAAAAAAAAAGTTTAGATGGAGTAAATAGCTTGGTGTGTTGGCGGAAATGATTGTTCATTCACAACATCATCATGTGACATTAATATTTCACGTGTTATAATACAAATAGACTAACATGTTTCACTTTAGGTATATTAATAAAAATACATAAGTTATAATCCTGAGTAAAATGGTAACAAGACGTAGCGGTGTCACAAGTACACCAAAGTTCTATCGAAGCTCTCCTACTCGAGTACAAAATCCATCAAATGCGAGTTTCAGAAAGTGTAAATGCAGTATCATCTACCAAAGTACAACGTCCATTATATTGGCACCTACTTTAACAAGTTCCATTCATGATCCTGTAAGATATTTCTGAAATCATAAGAACAACAACAAGATATTAGGATCACAGATTTGATAAACCAAAATTACAATAAATCAATTACAATTTACTTATCTTTGGAATACGGAAGATATGGCTCTTGCAGATGACAAAGGAGTCTTCTACTTTCAACAAGCGGAAGTGTTCCAGCAATAATAGGGTTTGCTCGGAATGGAACGTGTGTTTTGTGAAAGTAGGGACACCCTTAATATAGTGATTAGGGTTCCCCTAATTCCGCCTATTATAGTAATTAGAGGAATACACCAAATCACCATTTATTCTTAATGTTGTCCCACCAAGGCATGTACAATATGTCTTACTTAATTAGGGTTTCAATTAGTCAACTAAATATATCATGGTTCCATGATTCTTGCCAACCAATATTGAATCACATTAAAAGCCAAATATCTTAAAGATCAAGTTATTTGTCTTTCAAGTAATTCGATTCTTAATAATTGACAACTCAACATGAGTCTTACATTCTCCCACTTTGAGTGTCAATACCAACAGTTTGATTGCAACAAGAATCACAGTGATCACTAAACCAAAGATACAATAGTTATCCCTCAAAAGACAACTATTACTTAAACTGAATGTAGAATTATAGAAATCCAAATGCATATCTTTTTGCATTTGTGCTCTATAATCACATGCACATTCAATCAAAGCATACAGCTGCAGACTATGCCATGGTGTCTGAAACTGATGAACCAAATATCAATTTCACTAAACAAAATGAACTCTAGATTGAGTTCTTTGCACGAATTTCTGTCAATTTAAACAATCTGATATAATAACGAGATTAGGATTTCTCATTAAAATTTATGAACAAAATTTAAACAGAATTTACTCTTAAAGTATCAGGCACTAACACTTCAAATTTTTTAACATAAAATGTAATCTCCTACTCCCACTGATTAGCAGAGATAAACAAATTATTACTCCCATTGATTAAGAGAGTAAAACTTTATAAATGCCTATAAAATGAAATAGATACCTTTCAAATACTCCCACTAGCAAAACATTAGTCATGGAATATAAAACATAGAATTTGTGAGCTCAACATCTTTATTCTAGATATATGTAGGGAAGTGATTCTTGTGACTGAAAAACTATACAAAATTATTTGGTCAGTTTTGTTCATCTAACAATTGACAGAAATAGAAAACTTTAACTGAATGTTTTCTTATTGCATCAAAAGCATATAATTTCAGAATCATCTTTGGACAGAAACCAATTATATTAGGTTTGCATAGCTAAAACATAAAATACAAGGGCAAACGTATATAGCTTCAACACTTTTGAGCAGATGAAGTATATGCAATCTTGTCAATTTCATGTTTCACTATACATTGATTTATAGTCGTACTGAATAAGAAAACACTTTTGAGTAGATTAATTATTCATCAATAACATAACATATAAATCACAAGCTCAATTTCTTGAACAACAAACAAGAATTAATAAGTAAAACACTTTTGAGCAGAATGTACCCATTAATCCTTCATGAATATGAATCTGGTCGTATTGTATTTATCAGTTCAATATTGATAAATAACGATAGTGATTCAAAGTAAAATTTCCTGCAAGGTTAGTTACATTTAACAAATAAAATATAAACAAGTATGCTAATGTACGTTTTATCTACCAAAACTATGACCATTAAAAAAAGGATGAGTGTGAAGCCCATAATACATTATTTCTCCCACTTGGGCAAACACTCAAAATTGCAAGATTAAACACTAGAGAAAGTGGTTTTCATGATAAATAACGATAGTGATTCAAAGTAAAATTTCCTGCAAGGTTAGAATTAAAAAGTTCCATAAATAAAAAAAACTTATGCATTGACTACAAATTTTATTTTAGTGTATGAGAGAAGACTCACATATGCGTTAAAGATTAGGTCATACATTAAAATGAAACCTAATAAGAGAATCCAAATTCAAAATTTATGTTTTAATTCTAAAACAAAGTCGATTAAAATAAACACTTAGATATCTCAATAACATCAAATTTTCAACAATAATTTTAATCCAATTTAGAACTCAAAGAAAATTAAGGCAAAAGATTTGGCAAATTTACCTATACTCATTCTCGATTATGCAAGATTCATCATGGAAATAGTCGAGTTGTGGGGGATCAAACGAATTGCCAATTGCATGATTGTTACACCTTTGGGCAGAAACTAATCATGCAAAGAAAGTACCTGCATAGCTAGCCAAAACATAAAATACACAAAATACATATAGCTTCAACAGCTTTGGCCAGATGAAAATATGTTAGAAGTACTTTATGATTTGCTATAATACTAATTTATAATTGGTGAGTGATTTTCTGAAATTCCCATTGGGACAAAAGTATTCACCATATAAATTAGAATTCTGAATTTTCAAAATAATCATTTAGAATCGTATTTGGATATTCAATGATTCTCAAAAGATTCAATCAGACACAAAAATATGTCGTTGTTGACATTGAACAATAGAGTTCTCGAAAGAGGAAACATGGTTACTCAGTTATTCGATATGGACCAAAATGATCAATTAGTAAACTGATGCCACTTTCCAATTTTCTCTCAAAAGACAATTATCATCATAATCAGAATTGATGACCAAACAAAACATTGGTTTAAGTAAAATAAACCAATACATCTTTAAATAAAAATTTAATCAGTGTTGTCTATAAAAGTCATTAGTATTAAGAATTTGCATAAAATAACCAATAGATATGCACAAATCAGTGAAACAATATCACATAGCAAAACTAGTTTTGAAGTACCAAAATTCAACAGTACTACTTTAGTTTGCAAATTCACTAAAACCTCAATTCTCTTTAGATTGTCTTGAAAATTTTCAAGTATGAACTAGACATATATGACTACTATTTTGCAAAGTTTTATGATTTTTAAAATCTTATAAGCGAGCCAAAAATGAATTCGAAAAGAGAGGTGCTGCAGAAACAGCAGAAAATAATGTTCAGTACATACCTGATATTACAAATTCACCAAATATTCATTGTTCATCCGATATGCATCAAAATTTTCAGACATAAAGTAAACATAAAAATCTGTTATTTCCCAAAATTTCATCATTTTTGAGATTTTACAAGTGTACTAAAAACAAATTCGAAATAAGTTGTGCTGCTGAACCAACAGAAATTCTGCAAAACATACCCGAGACTAAATAATTCACCAAAACTTCAAACTTCCTCCAATGTGCATGAAAATTTTCAGAAATGAAGTAGACATATAAATTTACTGTCCCCTAAAATTCCATAATTTTTTCGATTTTACAAGTGGGCTAAAAAAAAAAAAAACTCGAATGGAATGTGCTGCAGAAACCCCACAAATTCTGCAGTACAGCCTCGAGATTAAAAATTCACCAATAATTCATTTTCAAACAAATGCTCGTGAAAATTTTCATATTTAAAAAAGACATCTCAATGCATATCATACTAAAATTCCATGAATTTAGGAGTTGCGTAGGTATATCAAAATAATATCACAAACATATTATGCTGCAAAATTCCAGTAACATAGTATCACACTTAAAAACAATTTACCATAAATGCATTTCTTGTACAAAAAAAAAGAATGAAATTTTTTCTGTATATACAATCCATTATATAATATAACATGACAAATTGTCACAAAGTTTGGAGTTAGGAAAATCTATCAAAATCGTAATCAAATAGGACACGTTGCAAGGTATGCAAAACTCCATCAATATTTCCCAAGCTCTACCAAAATTTCAGATTCATTCATAATTTAAAAACCAATTTACAATCTTTAATATGCTTAAAACACTAAAATTTCTTAAATAAATTAAAGGTTCATTTCATTAGATAATTAACCTTTAATATGCCCAAAACATTAAAATTTCTCAAACAAATTTGTTGACTCACAAAATAGTTGGTTTGGACAAAATAAACCAATCCATATGTATCAAAATTAGGCTTGTATAAGGAACAATATCTCAACATTATTTATAGATCTCAACCATTAGTCATAAAATCCAAAAGAAATCACAAGCCTTGTGAGTGCATGATACATATCCAAATTTAAAATATGGAAACATGAAATCCAAAATACGTAACTCCTTAATTCTAAAAGATTCTTTATAATAGATTTTATTAGTAAATGAAATGAGTTAATTCAAATCAAATGCAAAACGGGTAAATTAATTGCAATATTAATCCAGCTTAAATTCCCATAATAGTTGTATTGTGATGCACAACCCAAATTCAAGGAGACTACTAATTTCCCTTATAAGAAAACGTATTAAAATAATTTCTCTTTATATGGGCAATATCAATAATTATGAAAATACTTTTAATCTCACAATAAAACAATTAATGGAATATATTTTAAATTTAGAATCTCCTCCAATTTAGATGATAATTACCAATTGTTCTTAAAATCAACTCCATAAGGAAATCTACATACAACACCAAAAAAAAAAAAAAAAATTAGTCAACATTAAATTAAATTGATTAGGAGATTGCTAACATAATTAGAAAATTGCAACATGTTTAATGCAATTCTTCCCTTCAATAGAATATCATTAGGATTACAGATATTAATTAAGAATAAGAGTACGTAAGCAGAAGCATGAAATCCCAGAAACTAATACCAAAATCCATATTAATTCGTAGGAAAATTTGTATTCGAAAACAATTATAATTCATGTAATTTATACAAAAGAAAAACTGATACAAATTGTAATTCAAATTAAATCTTACCCAAGTTGTCTCCTAACAAGAAGTTATTCTCGTTGGAAAGTGCCGAGAGAGCCAAAACCATAAGGAAAATTTCGAGCTTCAAATATTAGGTTGTAAAGTAGTCGAAAATTATATAACCAAAAACCCAAATTAAAAAATTATTTTTACCAAAATATAAGTAAAAAATAATTTATCTCATATAATTAACCCCAATTATATATATATTATTAACCATGAAAAATCATTGCACACCAACACAAAATTGCGGAAGCATCAAAACCAATTTTCATGAGATGGAACAGTAGAAGGCATCCAACCAAAATGATAAGCAAATTTTCTTTAGTATGTGAATCATCTTCAATAAACAAATTTGCTTATACCTTTATATCGGACCCTAAGCTTGTTGTGCGGCTCTGATACCACATGTAAGATATTTCTGAAATCATAAGAACAACAACAAGAGATTAGGATCACAAATTTGATAAACCAAAATTACAATAAATCAATTACAATTTACTTATCTTTGGAATACGGAAGATATGGCTCTTGCGGATGACAAATGAGTCTTCTACTTCAACAAGCGGAAGTGTTCCAGCAATAATAGGGTTTGCTCGGAATGGAACGTGTGTTTTGTGAAAGCAGGGACACCCTTAATATAGTGATTAGGGTTCCCCTAATTCCGCCTATTATAGTAATTAGAGGAATACACCAAATCACCATTTATTCTTAATGTTGTCCCACCAAGGCATGTACAATATGTCTTACTTAATTAGGGTTTCAATTAGTCAACTAAATATATCATGGTTCCATGATTCTTGCCAACCAATATTGAATCACATTAAAAGCCAAATATCTTAAAGATCAAGTTATTTGTCTTTCAAGTAATTCGATTCTTAATAATTGACAACTCAACATGAGTCTTACAGATCCATCATTCTATAAAGCCTCGTGATCAAAACCTAGTTTCATCGGCACTGAGTTACAACCAGAGCTTGCACCCCCAACTCTTCTCTCCCCGGTTCCTCTATTTCTCTCTCCCGTCTGAATGGCGGCATCCAGTGATGGTGTATCCGGCTGCAATTTGTTCTTGTTGGCTGGGGTGGTTTTAAGAATTACAAGGTAAACATTTGAACTCAACTTTTCTTTCCATAGTAAATTTGTACTTGATTGTATCTATTCAAAAATTTTAAAAAATGATGAAATGATTGATATGATATAATGTTGACGGGGGATAATATGATTTGAGATGACAGCTTGAACATTTGATTGAAAATTTTCTCTACAGCTTGTTAAGTTTGTAAAGGAGGAAGACAATTATGCGGAGAATAATGTACCAAGAGTCATGGAATTTTCATGGCAAAGTCTTTACCGAAAGAGAACGGAGCCGTATGACACATTGCAGAAGGTGCATGTTTTGATTGCACTAGTTGTTGCACCTCCAGATATGACCTTGTTCATTTTCGTCTCAAAGTCATGTCCTCTTTTGGAGCCTGCAGCTAGGAAGCCTTTGATGACTTGGCTCCTGGGTTTTCCGTTGGCCCAATTATCGCATTTGTTGTAGTTGATGGAGCATTGGAGGTCGAGCCTCTCCCATCATTCTTGGACTTTCCTAGTTGCTCTAAGTTCTTCTTATGTGTCATGTACAATTTCTTTGAGAAGAGTGTGATACCACCAAGTGAAAGGAAAGTTGAGCTTGCTCCAAACCATGAGATTCAAGAGACTTGGATGAGAAGTATACATTGGACAAACGAGATTAAGAAAATTGATGATTAGGTTTTGGTATTATTGGTCTTAGGGTCTGTTGATAGTTCCGGAGATTCGGAAAGCAGTGCCTCTTCAATTTTTGAGAAAGTAATCCTGTTGGGAGTCTGACTCTCGAGATTTGGAGGGCGGTGCCTCTTCGATTTTTGAGCAAGTAATAATGCTATTCCTTTACCTTTCTTTGTCATAGCAATGTAGTGGGAGCTGCAAGCTTCACATGTTTTAACTTTGTCAGAGCGCTTTGAAAAGTGGTCTGTGGTATCTGGAATGCTGATGTTGCGTGTGAAGATTGCAGACAAGCTTTATCCAAGGAAATCTGGCTCTCGAAGTTTGGAGAGAGGTGCCTCTTCGGTTTTTGAACAAGCAATCCTGTCAGGGATCTGGCTCTCGAGATTCAGAGAACGGTGCCTCTTCAATTTTTGAGAAAGCAATCCTGTTGGGAGTCTGACTCTTGAGATTCGGAGAGCAGTGTCTCTTCGATTTTTGAGAAAGTAATCCTGTTGGGAGTCTGGCTCTCGAGATTCGGAGAGTGGTGCCTCTTCGATTTTTGAGCAAGCAATCTTGTTGGGAGTGTTTTCTCGAATGTGAGTAAAGGTTAGGCATTTTTACCAATTTGCCTTGCCACGAAGCACAGTGGTTGACACACATTGGGACTTTCTAGTTATCAAGTAGTGGTGCTGTTCCTTTACCCTCGTGGGTAATAGTAGGGTAGCTGGATCTTCAAAATTTATGTGTCTAAACTTTGTCAGATATCTTTGGCAAAGTTATTTGTGGTACCCGAGGAGCTGATGTTGCGTGTGGAAAGTGGTGCCTCTTTGAAATCCGGAGAGTGGTGCCTTTTCGATTTTTGAACCAACGGCCCTGTTGCCCTTTCTTTTATAAGGGCACCAATTGTGTGCAAGAAGTACATTCAAAGAGTTATTACTTGTAGGAATTTTCCCTTACTTCAGAGATTTATTGCACCTCATTTTTCCTTCATCATTTCTGAGAATGTCTGGCCCATCCGACCGTCGTTTTGACTTGAACTTTGGTGAAGAGGCAGCAATGCCTTCTCAAGACAACATATGGCGCCCATCATTCTTATCTCATACTGGTCCTCTTACCGTTGGGGACTCTGTGATGAAGAATGATATGACCGCTGCGGTAGTGGCCATGAACCTTCTCACTCCCAAAGATAACAGATTACTTTCCAAACGGTCTGATGAGTTGGCTGTTAAGGATTCTCTGGCTCTCAGAGTTCAGTATGTAGGTTCTGTGTCTAATATGGCCCAACGCCTATTTGCTTGAACCCGCCAAGTTGAATCATTGGCGGCTGAAGTGATAAGTTTCAAACAGGAGATCAGATGGCTCAAGCATAAGAATAAACAGTTGTACATGCTCGCACATGACTATGCTACAAACATGAAGAGGAAGCTCGACCAGCTGCAGGAATCTGATGGTCAGATTTTACTTGATCATCAGAGGTTTGTGGGTTTGTTCCAAAGGCATTTATTGCCTTCGTCTTCTGGGGTTGTACCGCGTAATGAAGCTCCAAATGATCAACCTTCGGTGCCTCCTCCTTCTGGGGTTCTGCCTAGTACTGAGGCTCCGAATAATCACCCTCTGGTTCCTCTTCTTTCTAGGGCTCTTCCGACTGCTGAGATTTCTCCTAAGCAACCTTTGTGAAAGCTCCCTCTTGTTTGTTTATTTTGATTCATGTATATGTACATATTTTTAACTTATCGAACATATCAATAAACAAGCTTTACTTCATTTCAACGTATTGTGTTAAATACACCAAGACCTTATTCACTAAGTTCTTTGAATTTTTTCCTTTTGTTGAAGCTTGTATGTTGAAGCTTTGTGAGTGAAGCATGTTGGTTGAGGTAGTGCTCCCTTAATTTCCCGAGTGAGGAAAATTTCTCGTTTGGAGAGTTGAAAAATCCAAGTCACTGAGTGGTTGTGAGACTTCCGAGTATCAAGGTGCAGTAGCATATGGTAGGAGTCCCTCAAGTCTCCGGTCGAGGGAGTTGACGAATGAGGCATTTCCTTTCGAAGTGGTAGCCCAAAACTCCTTCTTCATATATATTTGTTATGAAAGTTGTTAGGCCCAAAGAAGATGAGGTCTAGGCAATTTTTTTTTTCTCGAATTTTTTTTTTTGAATTTTCGAATTTTTGAATTTCCGAATTTTTGAATTTTCAAATATCTGAAAAAAAAATTTATATATATATATATATATATATATATATTTTAAAGCTTTGTAGGTGAAGCTTTGAGGTTGAAGCTTTGTTGGGCACCACAAATTGATTTTGCTTCACACTATCTTGATCAAGATAGTGTGAAGCTTTTGTGTTGAAGTTTTGTAGGTGAAGCTTTTGTGGGTCAAGCTTTTATAGGTGAAGCTTTTGTGGGTCAAGCTTTTTATGGGTGAAGCTTTTGTGGGTGAAGCTTTTGTAGGTCAAGCTTTGTTGGGCACCATGAATTGATTTTGCTTCACACTATTTTGATCAAGATAGTGTGAAGCTTTTGTAGGTGAAACTTTTGTGTTGAAGTTTTGTAGGTGAAGCTTTTGCGGGTGAAGTTTTGTGGGTCAAGCTTTTGTGGGTCAAGCTTTTGTAGGTCAAGCTTTTGTAGGTCAAGCTTTTGTAGGTGCAGCTTTTGTGGGTGAAGCTTTTGTAGGTGAAGTTTTTATGGGTCAAGCTTTTGTGGGTCAAGCTTTTGTAGGTGAAGCTTTGGAGTTGAAGCTTTGTAGGTGAAGCTTTGGAGTTGAAGCTTTTGTTGGGTACCATGAATTGATTTTGCTTCACACTATCTTGATCAAGATAGTGTGAAGCTTTTCAGAATTTGTAGTTCTCCTCCATTGATGAAGCTTTTATTGGTGAAGCTTTTGTGGGTGAAGCTTTTGTGTTGAAGCTTTTGTGTTGAAGCTTTTGTAGGTGAAGCTTTGGAGTTGAAGCTTTGTAGGTGAAGCTTTGGAGTTGAAGCTTTCGTTGGGTACCATGAATTGATTTTGCTTCACACTATCTTGATCAAGATAGTGTGAAGCTTTTGAGAATTTGTAGTTGTCCTCAATTGATGAAGCTTTTATTGGTGAAGCTTTGTAGGTGAAGCTTTGGAGTTGAAGCTTTTTTTTTTTTTGTACCATTAATTGATTTTTCTTCACACTATCTTGATCAAGATGTGTGAAGCTTTTGAGAATTTGTAGTTGTCCTCCATTGGTGAAGCTTTGTTGAATTTCCCTTTTTTTTTTTTTTTTTTTTGGAAAACTAGAAATTTGAAAATGTGGGAGAGAAAACATATACAAATTTTGCTTCCACACTGTTGAGCAAGAGATTGTGATGCAAGCCACACCTTGTACTAGTCGAAGGTTTGGATGAACCATATAAATTGAATTTGCTTCGAAGGTTTGAGAATTATAGTTGCACTCCATTGATGAAGCCACTGTCTTGATCAAGAGTGTGTGAAGCTTTTGAGAATTTTGGTTGCCCTCCATTGATGAAGCTCTTGTTGACACCATAAATTGGTTTTACTTCGCACTGTCTTGATCAAGAGTGTGTGAAGCTTTTGAGAATTGTGGTTGCCCTCCATTGATGAAGCTCTTGTTGTTGGCACCATAAATTGGTTTTGCTTCACACTGTCTTGATCAAGAGTATGTGAAGCTTTTGAGAATTGTGGTTGAACTCCTTTGATGAAGCTCTTTTTGGCACCATAAATTGGTTTTGCTTCACACTGTCTTGATTAAGAGTGTGTGAAGCTTTTGAGAATTGTGGTTGCCCTCCATTGATGAAACTCTTGTTGGCACCTGATCGGATCATATTTATATATATTTTTACTTCGAATTCACTCGTCTTTTCTTAGTTAGTTCCTTATATTTTTGAGCTATTTACGTTATTTTTGTGTTTTTAGGATTTGTTATGCAAAGAAAATAAAAATAACACAAATGAGTTTTAAATAATAAAAGGAATAAAAAATTCAAGACAGCAGGGCAACAAAACAAGTGGTTGCACTTTTAAGTGCTCCGCTTGAGAAATATAATGATATTGTCACAGCCTTGAAGCTTACAAATTATCCTCGTGTCTTGGAATTTCTTGATAGTGGAACAAATAAAGTCATGGCTACTGTTATAATTCAAAGCATTATGAAAAATACAACTCATGTTTTAACTGCTGAGAAGGTATGGTTAAATCATTGAGAGTCCTTTTCTCCGAGTTTGCTTCTTAATGACATGGAATGCTATTTTTACAGGTTGAGGCATTATTTGAATTAATAAAAGGACTTATTGAGGATTTGGATGGGCCTCTTAATGATGAGGTTGATAAAGAGGATGGAACATGGAATGGCAAAAACAAAAGAAAAGAAAGAAGTTGATGGGAGACACGGACAGCACAAGCAGAGAAAGAAGAATAAGAAAATAAAGTTGATGGGAGACATGGAGTAATGGGAAAGAATAAAGCTTTGAACAGCAATAAAAATAGAAGAGGGCAGCGTGAGGAAGGAATAAATAAAAAAAAGATGCTTTGGCAGCTGGAGGGCAGGTCAGGAGATAGAGGGAAGTTAGAGGGCGGAAAAGAATAAAAGAAGGAGAAGTAGATTGGTGTGAGGGGGTCTTGGAGCGGGAGAAAGGGGCTGCCCTTTGGGCAGCTCGCAGAGAAGAGGCGCTGCCTTTGGCAGCGAGAGAGGCCCGAAGGGGGGAATTGGTGGAAGGCAGAGGGCTGCCCTTTGGGCAGCGTGAAGCTGCGGAGAGAAGGGAAGGGGGAAGCTGCCCTTTGGCAGCGAGGTCAGACAGCACAGGAAAACAGAAAGAAGGAGGGCAGCTCGCAGACGTAGAGAGGACAGGAGATCAGCATGAAAATGCAGTTCAGAGTCCATGCAGTTCAGAGTCCAAGCAGCAGATCCTTTCTTTCGGTTTAATCTTTCCAAACTCCTATTTTATTTTTGTTTTAATAATGTGTAATTAATTTT